CAATTATTTCGGAACTAATTTACAATATTCTACCGGTGCAGAGCCGTCCTTTGCTACCGGTTAATGTCCCTTTCTATGCCGCTAACGGGGGCTCTCTCGGCATCGTGGGACAGATTCGAGCGCAAATTTCTATCGGGGACATCAAATTGTCGGGGCCGATTTTTGTCTCCTCCTCACTGGCAGTTCCGTGCCTGCTGGGGACGGACTTCTTGGGCAGGATGCCAATTCGTATTTTGATCGACCAAGGATGCATTGAGCTTCCGTCGGGGCGACGTATGGCGTTCCTGCCTTCCCCTGTAGCGACTCGGACGGCGTTCGCGACGGTACCGGCGTTTGTCGTAAAAACAGTGCGTGTGCCGCCGGGGGCACAAATGCTGGTACCTCTTAAACTTCGTAGGCCCTTCGCTAAGGGTGTTGGGGATCAGGGTGTTGTGCTGGGGCCGTCTAGGGCCGGGGTTAATGGGCCTCATTTAATTCCGGCCCAGACCATCGTAAGGGGGGACGAGGATCCCTTCATCGCGGTCCTCAATGTCGGGTCGCAGACAGTAGTGGTTCCCCAAGGGACTGTGCTCGCTCACGCGACGCCGGTGCCCTGCGAGGAACCTGCCGTGAACCACATTGACACTGCTGCTCGGACGCACCCGCATTCGGACGGCGATGAAGGGTGGCTCGACGCGCTTTGTGCGGGATCGACGAACCTGTCCAATTTAGAGCGCCAACGGCTTAGATCGCTGCTAAAGGAATTTTCCGACGTTTTCAGTCGGAATAAATACGATTTGGGTTGTACTCACCTGCTGCGTCACCATATTGACACGGGTGACAGCGCGCCTATTCGCCAAAATCCTTTTCGGTTGAGTCCCGCCGAAAAGGACCATGTCAAATCGGCTGTCGATGACATGTTAGCCGCCGACATTATCTCTCCCTCTACCAGCCCTTGGGGAGCACCGATTGTCCTGGTTAAGAAACAGGATGGCTCGTTGCGGTTTTGCGTAGATTTCCGTCGCCTTAATAAGGTTTCGGTTGCCGACGCATACCCGCTCCCACGGATGGACGAATCGCTGGACGCCTTGGCGGGAGCGCGATTCTTCTCCACACTAGATTTACTTTCGGGATTCTGGCAGCTTCCTCTGGACGATGACTCGAAGCCTAAAACCGCTTTCCGTACACCGCACGGCCTGTTCCAATTCAACCGGTTACCGATGGGCTTACACTCAGCGCCGGCAACCTTCCAGCGGTTGATGGAATTGGTTTTGGCTGGATTGCAATGGGAATCGTGCCTGATTTATTTGGATGACGTAATTGTTTTTGGAAGAACCTTTGACGAACATCTCCAGAGGCTGCGGGCGGTTTTCCAAAGGATGCGGGCTGCTAATTTGAAATTTAAGCCCCAAAAATGCTATTTGTTTCGCGAGTCAGTGCGTTATTTGGGGCACATCGTGGGGCGCTCGGGTATTGCTACCGATCCCGCCAAAACGCAGTGTGTCAGCTCCTGGCCAATTCCGACCTCGGTGGGGGAGGTGAGGAGTTTTATTGGCTTCGCTTCATATTACCGACGGTTCGTCGCTAATTTTGCTACAATTGCCAAACCCCTACATGCTTTGACATCAAAAGGGGTTCGGTTCCACTGGGGTCGGGATGAGGAAGTAGCTTTCTGCTCCCTTCGGGATGCATTGGTGAAGGCTCCTCCTTTGACTTACCCCGATTTTTCGAGGCCGTTTTTGCTCGACACCGACGCGAGCAACACAGGTATCGGAGGCGTGCTTTCCCAGGTGGTTGATGGCGTGGAACGGGTGGTTGCGTACGGCAGTCGGGTGTTGTCTCCAGCGGAGCAAAAATATTGTGTCACCCGTAGAGAACTGTTGGCAATTGTTTTCTTCATCCAACAGTACCGCCCATATCTGTACGGTCAGCATTTCACTGTCCGTACGGATCATGCGGCACTGCAGTACGCCCTGAAGGTTCAACAGCCATCGGGACAATTGTCCCGATGGCTGGAGGTCCTCCAGGAATTCGATTTTGACACCACCTATCGTAAGGGCATTCGCCACACAAATGCGGACGCTCTGTCGCGCATGCCAACCACCTCCGAATGCGCATGCCTCCTGGGGTCGGGGCGTTGCAAGCCAGCTGGGGACATGACGGTTCCAGTCCTGGCGGCCGCCGCCGATGTTGACACATCGCTCCCCGATGAGATCGGGAAACAGGGAAGGGATTCCCTGCTTGGGTTGCCTGTGATTGAGTGGGGACGCCTCCAGATGGAGGACGCCTCCCTCCTCGCGCTGCGTCGTCGCGCCAGGGAGAGGGGGTGTGGGACGGGTGATGCCGACAATTGGGAAATACACGCAGGCTTGCTCATGCATTGGGACGGTAAATCCCACCGTCACCGGCTGATAGTTCCTGCGGGGTTACGGGGTAAGGTGGTGTGGGCTGCTCATGAGCGCCTCCTCCACCTGGGTACCCAAAAGACCCTCGCCTCGCTCCAGCTGGATTTTTTTTGGCCGGGCATGACACGGGATGTCACGGATCTGCTGGCAGCATGCCCCCGGTGTGCGCAACGCAAACCACCAGCTCGGGAGTCGAACCCGCCATTGCAGTCCATCACAGTCTCCAGGGTGAACGAACTCGTAGCGTTGGATATCCTGGGGCCGTTTCCCGCCACCCCTAGGGGCAATAGATATTTGCTAACAGGGGTCGAATACTTCACACGCTGGCCTATGGCCTGGCCCCTGGCAAATCAGTCGGCAGCAGCCATCGTGGACGCCTTTGTCCAAGGCTACGTCATGGACAAAGGTGCTCCGGAGCGGCTGCTGACCGACCAGGGTAAAAATTTTTCCGGGAACCTCCTCAAACAAGTCTGTGATCTCCTAGGTACAAAGAAGATTCGTACCTCTCCCTATCACCCACAAACTGACGGGATGGTCGAGCGTCTGCATCGTACCATCACGTCTATGTTGTCGCACCTGGTTTCGGAGTCACAGACCAATTGGGACTTGCAAATTCAAGGGGTCCTGGCAGCATATCGATTGGCCCCCCATGCTGCCACGGGATTTTCACCCTTCTTTCTCATGTATGGTCGCGAACATGACCCACCTGTTCGGGCACAGCTGCAGATCCCCGCGCCTCTAGGTAAAATAAAATTGGACGAGCACGTTAAATTTAACCTTCAAAAGCTAACTGAGGCGCGGGATGCTGCCATGCTCAATTCCCGCATGCGCCAAAAGGCGAATGAGCGCCTCAGACTCGCGCGCGCGCACGTGCTGCAGTGGAAGCCAGGGGACAGGGCATGGCTGCACTGTCCCCAGGTACCGCTTGCGACCTCCTCGAAACTGGTACGGCCATGGCGGGGCCCCGTCGAGGTGGTCGAGGTTTTGCGACCGCAGTGCGTTCGTATCAAGTGGGGGAGGCGCCGGTGGTTCGTTCACCCCTCTAGACTAAAACCCTTCGTTGCGGTGCGGGGCTCTGCTCCACACGCGCAGGGCCAAGCATGTGAGGGGTCGACCGACCCGGAGGGTCCGCCTCTGTTGATCTCACCTGACGTCTTGCCGGTTGCCCCGCCCCCAGGTTCTCCCGGAATGACGGGCTCGCGCACATCCCTCACGGGGGATGCCGAGGGTCCCGCCACTCCAATTGCGGACTCGCCTCGGATGGGACAGCGGCCACCGAATGGTCCGCCATCTGAGGTTGGCCCTTGTGACGGGCCTGCGGCAAGGACGCGCGCTAAAATGCGCAGACTCTTATAAAAACACTGGAACGCGAACAAGAAGTGAAAACGAAACGAAAATAAGAAAAATTTTTTTTATTTTTTTTGCGTTTTCTGGTACACTTTCGTGTGCTATTGTTACTGGACGCTGCGTTCGTGTGGCGCTCTTGGCGCGTTGTTGTATTATGGCTGTGTGTGTGTGTGCGTCTTGTGTGCGTGTTGTGTGTGCGCTGAGGGTTCCGGGAAATGTACATATCTTGCCTCTACGGATTTCGTATTTATTCGGGGGGGGGGGGGCGCGTCGGTTTGTTCTCCCTTTAGGGGCATTGTTAGTGTTGTTGTTCAATTCTCGTTCTGTTAAATGAAAAAATGGGCACACACGGGGGGAGTCAAGGTGTAAAGATTCATTTGTTGAAATTGTTGCAGCCGGGACGGCTGCGAGCTATGCGGGGGGGAGTGATGTAGGGATGTTAGAGAGAGGGCCGTTATGCATGGCAGCCTATGGGAAAGAAACACAGTGGGCGGGGCTACGTGTGTGCACAGGGAGATGCCCTCTGCGACGTCCGAGCCAGACACCCTGGGGGGGGGCTGGTTCGGCGTTACGATCCCCCGGGGCCCCACCCCTCAAGGAGGGTTGGGTATAAAAAGGGGTCGTTATATGGGCTTAGTCAGTTATGTTATAGTTAAGCTAAGAAGTCGGAAGACGTCGTAGCTAGAGCCCTGGACTCCCCCTGATCGCCGCCCTTATCAGGGCCCCACGGGATCAGGCTCGAGCCAGCGGCGTGGTCCCGTGAACCAGAGCCAGTGCTCTGGGACTCCGGGTACCGTAGCCCGATTACCAGTGTCGGGCCAGACAGCCTCCCCTAGCTCTTTAGTGGAGGACTCAGGGGATAGGCTATGGATAGCTAGGGGTATTCCCTGAGTTATACGGGTGAGGGGGCCGCTACCCCCTCTAGTGCTGTCCTGTACTGGCAACTTGTTAAATAAATATACGTGTGCCTCAACTCCGTTGTCAAGCGTCCTCGACGGGTACTTCACTATGTTAGCTGCATTTTTCTTTCATAAATATTCCTTTTGTAGCCAGACAACCGAAATTGTGTGCTTGGAGTTTTAGGTTAACATTCATTTTGAAGATACTAGGGCTTCCAGGTTGACCATTTGCCCTCTAATTGTGTGCCCGTGTGATGAATTTGGGAATCTTTTTCATATTATCATGAATATGTGAATGAGTATAGACATGCAAGTCATGTGTGACTGTATATATGCATTCCTTTGTGCCTCAATACTGACGTAAATGGTGTGGATATTCTCTTTTTTCTCTCTGCAGCTGACGCTTCCTCTGCAAAATTGGTTTGATGGAGCAAAGGCACTCAGCGCAGCTCGGTACAAAAAGGCAACAACGCGACCAGCGTGCATACAGCACGGATCGTGTTGGACATTTAACACAGCACCAGAGAACTCACACAGGAGAGAAACCCTTCAAGTGCACTGTGTGTGACAAGGCATTTTCATATCCATCAGTTTTAAGGAACCACCAGAGAACACACACAGGAGAAAAACCCTTCAAGTGCAGTCTGTGCGCGAAGGCGTTTTCACGGTCATCTGTTCTTGTATTACATCAGAGAACACACACGGGAGAGAAACCCTTCAGTTGCACTCTGTGTGGGAAGGCATTTTCAGATAAATCTGCTCTTAAAAAACACCGGATAACACACACAGGAGAAAAACCCTTCAAGTGCAGTCTGTGCGGGAAGGCGTTTTCACAGTCATCTGCTCTTGTATTACATCAGAGAACTCACACGAGAGAGAAACCCTTCAGTTGCACTTTGTGTGGGAAGGCGTTTGCACATTCACAACATTTTAAAATACACCAGAGAACACACACGGGAGAGAAACCCTTCAGTTGCACTCTGTGTGGTAAGGCGTTTGCACAATCACCATATCTTAAATTACACCAGAGAACACACACTGGAGAGAAACCCTTCAAGTGCACTGTGTGTGACAAGGCATTTGCACAGTCATCAGGTCTTCATAGACACCAGAGAACACACACGGGAAAGAAACCCTTCAGTTGCACTCTGTGTGAGAATGCATTTTCATTTCCATCAGTTCTAAGGAACCACCGGAGAACACACACGGGAGATAAACCCTTCAAGTGCAGTGTGTGTGGGAAGGCATTTTCAGATTCATCTGCTCTTAAACAACACCGGAGAACACACACAGGAGAAAAACCCTTCAAGTGCAGTCTGTGCAGGAAGGCGTTTGCACAGTCATCAATTCTTAAAAGACACGAGAGGACACACAATCATCAGAAGATCCCCAAGAAATTGAGTCTGAAATCGGCTTGTGAAAGTCAAAGTGCTGCAATGAGCCCATCCCTCATGAAACCAGAAGTGAATCCCAGCTTGGACACTTTTAAAGGTATCAAGGTGAAATGTGAAGAGGCGAAGGTGAAATGTGAAGAAATGATGAAGAGCGAAGAAGTGAAGGTGAAATGTGAGAAAGTGATGGTGAAAAGCGAAAACGTGACGGTAAACTGTGAAGATGAAGATTCAACTCCAAAATCGTACCTTCACATCGATGGAGGCAACGTGAAGCAGGAGGAGAATTCTGACTGCGAGGCAGAGCTTGGCAACTCCCAGCAGTTTGTGGAAGTGGAGGTGTGGGTGGACTTCTTAGACAATACAAAGTCAAATGGAGGCCCGGTAGATGGGTAGGCTTGAGACAATGAAGCTCCAATAGATGCACCTTTGTCACAGGCCTTTAATGAAAAGAACGTGAATTTGAACACTGAATTCCTGTGTTCAACCTGCAGAGTAAGAGCGGCGAGTATTTGTTGACCTGTGGGTTGGGTAGATGAATAATCAGGAACAAGAGCCAATAAGCTTCCAAGTATTCCACTGTTATATTTATATTTGCATTGATATGGTGCTTGCTTAATTGCCTCAGCAACTCAGTTTCATATCTCATCACAAACGTTCGAAGAGCACCTTCAAGTGGCAGCTGCCTCTGTCATAAGGTGACACTGCTGTCACCTGCATGTGGGCATGAGTCTGTCAGTAGGGGGCAGAGGTGTGGACTCGAGTCATGTGACTTGGACTCGAGTCAGACTCGAGTCATGAATTTGATGACTTCAGACTCGACTTGGACTTGCATAACAATGACTTTGTCCCACCTCTGGTAGGGGGTGATGATTGATGAGTAAACTTCATTAGGTAATTTCTGGATCATGTTTGAAATTGCCCAAATATTGACCATGACACCAACATGCAATGACCTATGCGTTTTGAATGACAATCGTATGTTTTACATCCACTGTTAAGCAGACGGTGCATATTTTGTTAAATGTTACTGGAGTAGCCAGACGTGCCTGTCGGATTTGAACCTTGAACCTCTGCAATAAATAGAGAATGTGCTTCTACTTGGCTTCCCTCAATCTGAGTGTAGGCATGACAGCCTGAATGTTTCTAACCGGCGCAGATGTTCCATTTAGAGGGGTCCACGTTTCACATGCCTACAGAAGGGAGGGCAAAACTGGCCGAGAAGAACCGAAGCATCATGCGGAGCAACAGACCAGGTAGCTTCCACACAGCATAGCGCAGCCGATGTAAAGATAATGCCGCCCGACTGATTCGGACCACCCACTGTACACACGCAGTGTACCCACAAGGTCTACACACCATGTACACAGCGTAGACACAATTTACCCACACAGTATACAGTCTGTACACGCACAGTGTATACACACAGTAACAACCGCCATTCGCCACTAAGTGGCGGTGACGTCACCACGGCGCTTGTGCCAGGCTATGTGCACGGGGCACATCCAGGTGTCATGGGTCGACTGACTGAGATGACTGGCCAATGCACCACCTGTGCCCCCGACTGCGACAACAAACAGTGTCCACACACAATGTTCACATTATTGTTGAGCTCACGCACCCAATGGGTCTCTGTTCAAGAGAGGGAGCCATAGAACCAGATGACACCAGAAGGCGTACTACTCAAACACAGTGCAGTATCAGGGAAAGCCGTCTCGGGTGTGGACCAATCAACTTCAAGGACAGTGCATATTATCATTATCAGAGTTGCTTTTTTTGTTTGCATTTTTGACTACTTGTGTTGTGGTTATTGCAAACATGATGCCTTGTATAAAGGTGTCAGTTTAGTACCAGTTTAAAAGGGTAAAAACCTATTACTATAATATACTGTATTCAGTTACCCTGCTGCTCGTTGGGGAAGAGGATTGTGTGAACCCCGCAAGTGACGTCATGTCACCTGCTGCTGCCACATGACGTCACGAGTTATCAGGTCGCTTCGCGCACGCTCGCTCACTGAGATCCGAGGTGAGAAGTTTACATCGTGGTGGTTGTTGTTGTTGTGGTGGTTGTTGTTATTAACCCAGGTAGAGCCTCGCTCCTTCTCCCTCGTAGGGATATCAATTGAGTAGCACCGAGTATGGAATCGATGTCCAGGTTGAAACATTACAACGCGGGGCCTAGCCATGCGGGGCCTTGCCTCCTGCCCTCGCCTGATTGCATTTGCTTTCTCTTCTTAAGTTTAATTTGTCTTCACCTGGCTCACTACTTTGAAACTTTGTTTTTACTTTAAATATTTCTACGTTTTTTTTTATTTTACCAGGCATAGCCCACTTGAGCTACACCGCTCGTTTTCAGAAGCCACCTGCCCACAACACAGTGGGCTTATCAACTTGTGGAAATGTTTATCGGTCAATTACTCTAAACGCGTGGTGATGTTGACTCTAAATGTGCAGGGAAAACCGCAGGATCCGGAGGAAAATCCACGCGACCACGGAGAGAGAGGGACACGCAAACTCCAAATATACAGCCATAATACAGGTTTGTTTGGGATTGATCGCGTAAATAAATGTGCCGTTAACCCCGCCACCACCCGACACAGCCATTTAGTAAGAGGTTTGTCATGTAAACAGAACGTGGCCAATGCGTCACTAGTACAGCACTAATTTGTAGTGCATAGTGTAGTGTATAGTTGTGTATAGTGTAGTGTATAGTTGTGTATAGTGTAGTGTATAGTGTAGTGTATAGTTGTGTATAGTGTAGTGTATAGTTGTGTATAGTGTAGTGTATAATGTAGTGTATAGTTGTGTATAGTGTAGTGTACTAGTACAGCACATCGGTGTGTTGAAGAGCCAAGCCACAACATTTACAATCTGAGTACAACGTTTTTACACTAATTCCAACCAGCTTCATCAGACGACAGCCACATGTTGTTGCTTGGCTCTGTGGGAATAGAAATCGGCTCGCTGGGTTCATAGCGCAGCACGCTAACCGTTGCACTACCGCTCCCCACTCACTCACAAACTTAATCGGAAGTATAGTATTTATCCAGCAATAACTAAGTTACCCGGCTTAGCTCAGGTCTCAGTAATCAAACATTAAGAGTAATGTCTCTGCTTTTTTTATGTAATTAAGGTCTATCGTACCATATCGAGGCTTGGGGCTTTGGGTTGTTCTTTGTTTTTTATGTCTCTGCCTCTGCTCACATTCATTGACGATTTTTATGATTTTGGGCAAGCCCGTCTAAAGCTGCGTGACCAGGAATTGGAGCCATTTGCTGTTCAATTTGGCTTGTGACAGAAATTCACTCTGCCCCCATGCATTACATTACATAGCATCTTCATTAATTATGTAGTTTGAGAAGCTCACAATAGCCATATAAATAATTGCATTCGTTACAGTTAAAATGATACGCGCATCGATGCCTGGTTATAGTTAAGGGATCGTTCCCTGGTCAACCATGTTATATCTGCTGATGATCTGGAAATGGCTACTCAAGGAGATGGGGTTAGATGATCTCGTTCTGTGCCTGGATAATTCCATCATGAAAGGTGGCCTTGCGTATGTTCCACCAAAATAAATCACCTGCCGGGGAATTTCATGTCATACAACACTGTACCTGCTCAACTCTCCATGAGTAATCAGGCAGTTCTGCAAGTAATGGAGGAGCTCCCATACCTGGTTAATGTGTTCACGACCAGCTCTGGTTTGGCAGCCAAAGTCTCACTTTAAATTTGTCTAGCAGCATTCTTTCATTAGACTGTGTAACACTGTGTGGAAGCTGCCTGGACTTTTGCGCCATACAAAGCTGTGAGTGTCCATCACCAAGGTCTAGTCTGTCTGAGACCATCCCTCTCCCTGCCATACTGGCATCGCACCCGCCTCTCTTCGTACTGTGGATGGTGGGCGCACAGGACGGTGCCACGCAGCCATTCCAGGCTGGGTCCAAATGGGTTACGTGGGTCACCGAGCCACCAGGCCTCATTCCACGAGTGATATCAATATACAATATCTGTAACGAGGCCCCCCAATAGACTGCCCCTGGAACTCTATCGGGCACGTCCCACTGAGGGAAGTCCCCGGGGCCCGGGCCAGGACTTGCTGGTGGGAATATGTCGCTTGGCTGATTTGGGAATGCCTGGGAATTCCCCAGGAAGATCCAGAGTCTGTCGCCAGGGAAAGGGAAGTCTGGACTGCCCTACTAAATGTGCTGCCGCTACAACCCTCACCAAGACAAGAGGATTTAGAAATAAACGAACAAACAAAGCTGTGAGTCTTCTTGGCCACAGATATTACTCCTTTCTCTGTAGATGCAAAATATTAACTTATTTAAAGGACCGTCTGTTCTGGCTTATAATTAAGACTGGCCAGCCTATGATCCCCTCTATTGAACCAAACAAGATTGTATTATAACCTTACAGAGCCCTAAAATATCAGTACAGAATATAATCTGAGACTTTGGCAGGGGAGGCTGCATTGGTTGGGTCATGAATTCCGCATAAACAGACAGCATGCACAATCATCTTCTGTTAGTCCAGATGTTACGGGCTAAACGGGCATGGCATTGGCTAGAGAAGAGATTGGAGGATGTGGAGTTGATCAGACCTGCTGTCAAGATCGGCCTCTCGAAGAGGCCCGTTGACGTATGCTGCAGGGGAGTTGGAGGTATTTGCTCTGCAACAACAATGAGGTTGGAGTAGCAACAATCACATGAATGGGTGGGAACGCTGGGTGCCTCAAATGCAGCAAGACAGCAGGAAAAACAGCTGGTGCATCTGTTAATCATCTCAGTCAGTCATCCCTTGACACCTGGATCATTCTCATGACACGCTGACAAGTGATCCACACTTACATGGCATTCATTTGAAATATATGTGTATGTAAGAGTTTATCTATGTGGGGAGCGGTGGCGCAGTTTTTCCACTGTGTAACCAAAAAAAAAGTCTTGTTCCTGGGTAGTATGTGTTATTTCCTAATTGCTTTTGCCTCTTAAGTGCAAAAAATGGCTATTCCCCACAAACTTTGCTTTTGTGACCAGGACAGTGATATTTAGAAATTTACCTCTTTTCAATGAAAAAACTGGTGAATTTGTTATTTTCGTTCACGTACAATTCTGGTCACAAAAGCAAAATTTGTGGGGAATAATAGCCAATTTCTAGACTCTTAGGCATAAGCAATAAAAAAATAACACTTAGTACCCAGGAACAAAAATTGTGTTACATAGTGTTATCACAATTAAAGTTTGATTATCTTCGACAAAAAACGTGATTGATTCGTGAAAACTTAACTTATTGTGGGGAAGCATTAATACTGAGCATATGAAGGTGGCCAGGCATGGTTCTGAACACACCACCACCTTTTGTCCATGCCAGTGTGTGTTACAGTGTCAAGTTTGTATTTGCAGTAAAGTATATTAACTCAATTGAACACGGAGGTTAAATCAAAACAATAGTATATACTTTTTTTCTTCTGAAAATTTTTAGGAGAATGGAAACAGGAAATTAACACTGCACATATGCAGCTGAAGTTAGATCTGTTCATCCCAGCATTCAAGGAAATCTGAGCCTGGCTTCATGCCTCTAAGTTAGCGATTGAACATTAATTTATGCATTTCTGCATAATAAAAATAGTATTATTTTCAACACCCTTTTCTATGTTAGCTGCATTTTTTTTTCATAAATATTCTTTTTGTAGCCAGAAAACTGAAATTGTGTGCTTGGAGTTTTAGGTTAACATTCATTTTGAAGATACGAGGGCTTCCAGGTTGACCATTGGCCCTCTAATTGTGTGCCCGTGTGATGAATTTGGGAATCTTTTTCATATTATCATGAATATATGAATGAGTATAGACATGCAAGTCATGTGTGACTGTATATATGCATTCCTTTGTGCCTCAATACTGACGTAGATAGTGTGGATATTCTCTTTTTTCTGTCTGCAGCTGTGACGCTTCATCTGCAGAATTGGTTTGATGGAACAAAGGCACTCAGCGGAGCTCGGTACAAAAAGGCAACAACGCGACCAACGTCCATACAGCACGGATCGTGTTGGACATTTAACACAGCACCAGAGAACTCACACAGGAGAGAAACCCTTCAGTTGCACTCTGTGTGGGAAGGCGTTTGCACGTTCACAACATCTTAAAATACACCAGAGAACACACACAGGAGAGAAACCCTTCAAGTGCACTGTGTGTGACAAGGCATTTTCACATTCATCAGTTCTTAGGAACCACCAGAGAACACACACGGGAGAGAAACTCTTCAGGTGCAGTCTGTGCGGGAAGGCGTTTTCACAGTCATCTGGTCTTGTATCGCACCAGAGAACACACACGGGAGATAAACCCTTCAAGTGCAGTGTGTGTGGGAAGGCATTTTCAGATAAATCTCCTCTTAAAAAACACCGGATAACACACACAGGAGAAAAACCCTTCAAGTGCAGTCTGTGCGGGAAGGCGTTTTCACAGTCATCTGCTCTTGTATTACATCAGAGAACTCACACGAGAGAGAAACCCTTCAGTTGCACTTTGTGTGGGAAGGCGTTTTCACATTCACAACATCTTAAAATACACCAGAGAACACACACGGGAGAGAAACCCTTCAGTTGCACTCTGTGTGGGAAGGCGTTTGCACAATCACCATATCTTAAATTACACCAGAGAACACACACTGGAGAGAAACCCTTCAAGTGCACTGTGTGTGGGAAGGCGTTTGCACATTCACAACATCTTCAATTACACCAGAGAACACACACGGGAGAGAAACCCTTCAAGTGCACTGTGTGTGACAAGGCATTTGCACAGTCATCAGGTCTTCATAGACACCAGAGAACACACACGGGAGAGAAACCCTTCAGTTGCGCTCTGTGTGGGAAGGCGTTTGCACAGTCATCAATTCTTAAAAGACACCAGAGGACACACAAGCATCAGAAGATCCCCAAGAAATGGAGTCTGAAATTGGCTTGTGAAAGTCAAAGTGCTGCAATGAGGCCATCCCTCATGAAACCAGAAGTGAATCCCAGCTTGGACACTTTTAAAGGTATCAAGGTGAAATGTGAAGAGGCGAAGGTGAAATGTGAAGAAGTGATGAAGAGCGAAGAAGTGAAGGTGAAATGTGAAGTGATGGTGAAGAGCGAAAAAGTGACGGTAAACTGTGAAGATGAAGATTCAACTCCAAAATCGTACCTTCACATCGATGGAGACAACGTGAAGCAGGAGGAGAATTCTGACTGCGAGGCAGAGCTAGGCAACTCCCAGCAGTTTGTGGAAGTGGAGGTGTGGGTGGACTTCTTAGACAATGCAAAGTCAAATGGAGACCCGGTAGATGGGTAGGCTTGAGACAATGAAGCTCCAATAGATGCACCTTTGTCACAGGCCTTTAATGAAAAGAACGTGAAATTGAACACTGAATTCCTGGGTTCAACCTGCAGAGTAAGAGCGGCAAGTATTTGTTGACCTGTGGGTTGGTTAGATGAAGAATCAGGAGCAAGAGCCAATAAGCTTCTAAGTATTCCACTGTTATATTTATATTTGCATTGATATGGTGTTTAATTGCCTCAGCAACTCAGTTTCATATCTCATCATAAACACTCGAAGAGCACCTTCAAGTGGCAGCTGCCTCTGTCATAAGGTGACACTGCTGTCACCTGCATATGGGCATTAGTCTGTCAGTAGGGAGTGATGATTGATGTGTAATCTTCATTATGTAATTTCTGGATAATGTTTGAAATTGCCCAAATATTGACCATGACACCAACATGCAATGACTTATGCGTTTTGAATGACACAATCGTATGTTTTACATCCACTGTTAAGCAGACGGTGCATATTTTGTTAAATGTTCCTTGAGTAGCCAGACGTGCCTGTCGGATTTGAACCTTGAACCTCTGCAATAAATAGAGAATGTGCTTCTACTTGGCTTCCCTCAATCTGAGTGTAGGCATGACAGCCTGAATGTTTCTAACTGGCGCAGATGTTCCATTTAGAGGGGTCCACGTTTCACATGCCTACAGAAGGGAGGGCAAAACTGGCCGAGAAGAACCGAAGCTTCATGCGGAGCGACAGACCAGGTAGCTTCCACAGCATAGCGCAGCCGATGAAAAGATAATGCCGCCCGACTGATTCGGACCACCCACACACTGTACACACGCAGTGTACCCACAAGGTCTACACACACCATGTACACAGCGTACACACAGTTTACCCACACAGTATACAAACAGTCTGTACACGCACAGTGTATACACACAGTAACAACAACCGCCATTCGCCACTAAGTGGCGGTGACGTCACCACGGCGCTTGTGCCAGGCTATGTGCACGGGGCAGATCCAGGTGTCATGGGTCGACTGAATTAAATGACTGGCCAATGCATCACCTATGCCCCCGACTGCGCCAACAAACAATGTACACACACTGTTCACGCACACAATAATGTTCACGTTGTTGAGCTCACGCACCCAATGGGTCTCTGTTCAAGAGAGGGAGCCATAGAAATGGAATCTAAATAAACTTGAACTCTAACCCTGATCTCGCTCTGACGTCACCACTCATTAACTCGGCGTGATGCGCGAGGGGGAGGTGGCCCCACTAGTGACGTCATGTCACCAAGGTATATACCCCCAAAATCTCCCTCCACCGAGATTTTGGGCGTGACGTCACGTCTACCGATTTCCGTTCCAGTAAAATGCTTTTATGGGACGGGGTCAGCAGCCAAGCACCATCACCTGACATGGGCCCCTCTCATTAACATAATATATTCAGTTACCCTGCTGCTCGTTGGGGGAGGAGATTGTGTGAACCCTGCTAGTGACGTCATGTCACCTCCTGCTGCCACGTGACTTCACGAGTTACCAGGTAGCTGCTGCTCCGCGCACGCTCGCTCACTGCGATCCGAGGTGAGAAGTTTACATCGTGGTGGTTGTTGTTGTTGTGGTGATTGTTGTTGTGGTTGTTGTTGTGAACCCAGGTAGAGCCTCGCTCCTTCTCCCTCGTAGGGATATCAATTGAGTAGCAGCGAGTACGGAATCGATGTCCAGATTGAAACATTACAACGCGGGGCCTAGCCATGCGGGGCCTTGCCTCCTGCCCTCGCCTGATTGCATTTACTTTAATTCTCTGCTTAAGTTTAATTTGTCTTCACCTGGCTCACTACTTTGAAACTTTGTTTTACTTTAAATATTTCTACGTTTTTTTTTATTTTACCAGGCATAGCCCACTTGAGCTACACCGCTCGTTTTCAGAAGCGACCTGCCCACAACGCAGTGGGCTTATCAACGTGTGGAAATGTTTATCGGTCAAATACTCTAAACGCGTGGTGATGTTGACTCTAAATGTGCAGGGAAAACCGCAGGATCCGGAGGAGAATCCACGCGACCACGGAGAGAGAGGGACACGCAAACTCCAAATATACAGCCATAATACAGGTTTGTTTGGGATTGATCGCGTAAATAAATCAATGTGCCGTTAACCCCGCCACCACCCGACACAGCCATTTAGTAAGAGGTTTGTCAGGTAAACAGAACGTGCCCAATGCGTCACTAGTACAGCACTAGTGTGTAGTGTAGTGTACTAGTACATCTCACCGGTGTGTTGGAGAGCCAAGCCACAACATTTACAATCTAAGTACAACGTTTTGACAGTAATTCCAACCAGCTTCATCAAACGACAGCCAAATGTTGTGGCTTGGCTCTGGGAATAGAAATCGGCTCGCTGGGTTCATAGCGCAGCACGCTAACCGTTGCACTACTGCTCCCCACACACACAAACTTCATCGGAAGTATAGTATTTATCCAGCAATAACTAAGTTACCCGGCTTAGCTCAGGTCTCAGTAATCAAACATTAAGAGTAATGTCTCTGCTTTTTTATGTAATTAAGGTCTATCGTACCATATCGAGGCTTGGGGCTTTGGGTTGTTCTTTGTTTTTTATGTCTCTGCCTCTGCTCACATTCATTGACGATTTTTATGATTTTGGGCAAGCCCGTCTAAAGCTGCGTGACCAGGAGTTGGAGCCATTTGCTGTTCAATTTGGCTTGTGACAGAAATTCACTCTGCCCCCATGCATTGCATTACATAGCATCTTCATTAATTATGTAATTTGAGAAGCTCACAATAGCCATATAAATAATTGCATTCGTTACAGTTAAAATGATACGCGCATCGATGCCTGGTTATAGTTAAGGGATCGTTCCCTGGTCAACCATGTTATATCTGCTGATGATCTGGAAATGGCTACTCAATGAGATCGGGTTAGATAATCTCGTTCTGTGCCCGGATAATTCCATCATGAAAGGTGGCCTTGCGTATGTTCCACCAAAATAAATCACCTGCCTGGGAATTTCATGTCATACAACACTGTACCTGCTCAACTCTCCATGAGTAATCAGGCAGTTCTGCAAGTAATGGAGGAGCTCCCATACCTGGTTAATGTGTTCACGACCAGCTCTGGTTTGGCAGCCAAAGTCTCACATTAAATTTGTCTAGCAGCATTCTTTCATTAGACTGTGTAACACTGTGTGGAAGCTGCCTTGACTTTTGCGCCATACAAAGCTGTGGGTGTCCATCACCAAGGTCTAGTCTGTCTGAGACCATCCCTCTCCCTGCCATACTGGCATCGCACCCGCCTCTCACTCTTCGTACTGTGGATGGTGGGCGCACAGGACGGTGCCACGCAGCCATTCCAGGCTGGGTCCAAATGGGTTACGTGGGTCACCGAGCCACCAGGCCTCATTCCACGAGTGATATCAATATACAATATCTGTAACGAGGCCCCCCAATAGACTGCCCCTGGAACTCTATCGGGCACGTCCCACTGAGGGAAGTCCCCGGGGCCCAGGCAAGTACATGCTGGTGGGGATATGTCGCTTGGCTGATTTGGGAATGCCTGGGAATTCCCCAGGAAGATCCAGAGTCTGTCGCCAGGGAAAGGGAAGTCTGGACTGCCCTACTAAATGTGCTGCCGCTACAACCCTCACCAAGACGAGAGGATTTAGAAATAAACGAACAAACAAAGCTGTGAGTCTTCTTGGCCACAGATATTACTCCTTTCTCTGTGGATGCAAAATATTAACTTACTTAAAGGACTGTCTGTTCTGGCTTATAATTAAGACTTGTCAGCCTATGATCCCCTCTATTGAACCAAACAAGATTGTATTAGAACCTTACAGATCCCTAAAATATCAGTACAGAACATAATCAGCGAGTTTATTTGGGAGGCCAAGCTGCATTGGTTGGGTCATGAATCCCGCATTAACAGACAGCATGCTCAAGCATCTTCTGTTAGTCCATGTGTTACGAGCTAAACAGGCATGGCATTGGCTTCAGAAGAGATTGGATGATGTGAAGTTGATCACACCTGCTGATGACTGGTACCAGGAGTGTCATGATCAGCCTCTGTGGAGGAGGCCCGAGATATATGCTGCGGGTCAGTTGAAGATATTTTCTCTGCAACAAGTGAGATCGGAGGAGCAACACTCACATGAATGGGTGGAACGCCGGGTGCCTAAAATGCAGCAAGACAGTGTGAAGCACAGCTGGTGCATCTGTCAAACATCTCAGTCATTCATCCCTTGACACCTGGATCATTCCAATGACCTGCTGACAAGTGATCCACACTTACATGGCATTCATGTGAAATGTATGTGTAGTGAGTTCAACTGAGTCGCAGATGTACACTTGGAGGCAACACATTTATTTAACACCAACACACGGGGTAACTGCCCCTTAACAGAATAACAACCTGTGGTGGTGACCACCAGGCTAACTGCACTAATTACAACGTAACGAGCTACTACGGACCGGGACCACAGCTCGGGTCCAGTTCCACATGTTGTAGACTTGGTGGAACGTAGACGAACGTTTCTTCAGGTTGAACAACAACGCCGGTTCCTCTGGGGGACCCGGCTTATATTTTTTGCGGTGTGGCTGGCTCCGCCCTTGGCCACGACCACCTTTCAGAATCCTCAAGCAGGATCTGGACCCCGACCACGTGACCACCCCTAGCCCCCACTTTGGGCCCCTTTGTGGACTTAGCTTGTCACGTGCCCTCTCGGGTCAACCAGAGTGCCATGGCCTTTCGTAACCTCATTCCTACGGCCGGCACTCCCACACCCTATCCTGTAGGGCCGGCACTACACGCCAAGCGTGGTGCCATTCGGCGATATCAATCAGCGCTCACCGAGCCCCTTTAGGGCTAGTACTACACTCACCATAATGGTATCCGCGATGTCGTTACACCGCACGCCGTGCCTCTCTAGAGCCGGCACTACACAGTGACATCCCGCAATGTCACTACATCTGTAAGAGTTTATTTATGTGGGGAGCGGTGGCGTAGTTATTACACTGTGTAACAATAACACATTTTTCTTCCTGGGTAGTGTTATTTCCTAATTGCATATACCTCAAAAGTACAGTAAATGCTATTATTCCCCACAAACTTTGCTTTTGTGACTAGGACAGTGATATTTTGAAATTTACCTATTTTCAATGATAAATTTGTGTCTTTTCGTTCACATAAAGTCCTGGTCACCAAAGCAAAGTTTGTGGGGAATAATAGCGATTTTCTATACTTTTTAGGCATAAGCAATAAAAAAAAATAACACTTTGTACGCAGGAACAAAAATTGTGTTACATAGTATTATCATTGTACTAGCGGTTAGTACCCGGCGTTGCCCGGGCGAAAAAGGCAGACACATGTAGTTACACACGCAAATCGACTCACACACAGAGTTACACGCACAAATCGACTCACACATACATACATAGACTGAACAAAAACCGCCATTCACCACTAAGTGGCGGTGACGTCACGACAATGCTTGTGCCAGGCTATATGCACCTTGAGGCCACATGAAGTGTCGAACGCCCGCTGGCAGGAGGTCAGGGGGCAAACCCAGATGGCACAGATCGACTGACTGAGACGACTGGCTGATGCACCACCTGTGGCCCCTACTGTGGCAACTTTCTGTGCTTTAGCCACCCGGCGCTCCACTCGTTGTTGTGAGCGTCACTCCTCCGCCCTCCGTTGTTGTTGGAGGGTGACTGATTCCAACTGCCCAGTAGCGTCCTTCAGGAGCCTGCTCCAGAGGCCGCTCTTGACACCGTTGGTACCAGTCATCCGCAAGTGGACTCAGCTCCAAGTCATCCTGTACCAGATCACTCCATCTCTTCTCCAGCCCGTGCCGCGCCCGTTTAGCCCCCTCGATCCGGTCGAACAAAAGCTGTTTAGGCATGCGGTGGCTGGCCATGCGGGCTACATGACTCGGGCAACGCAGCCTTGCCTGCTGGAGGTCACCGATGGGACTTTGTCCACATCTTTCAAGGATTTGTGAGCTCCTCACACAATGCAGCCTGGTTAAACCCAGGATGGATCGTAGGCAGGCCATCCTAAATGTTTATAATCGGCGAAGATGTTCCATTAGGGGGTCCAAGTTTCGCAAGCATCGAGAAGGGAAGGAATGACCGTGGCCGAGAAGACCTGAAGCTTCGTACGGAGTGATAGACCAGGTAGCGTCCACACAGTGTTACGCAGCCAATGAAAAGATAATGCAGCTCGACTGATTCGGAGTGAGACCTTTGCTGTTAAACCGGAGCCGGTCATTAGCACACTGGCAAGGTATGGGAAATTGTCCACTGTCTCCACAACTGCCCCATCACCAATTAGGAGTTATGGGGGTGGAGTGTCCAATGGTACAAAATAGCCAGGCAGGTGCTTAGTTTTGGTGAGGCTGATGGTAAGGCCCCCACCTCTTGGTGGCAAGCTCCAGGTTCAGCAGCAGCACCTCGAACTCCTCCTCCGAGTGAGTTGCAATTAGCAGATCATCGGCATACAGAACGCGGTTGAACAATAGAGTGCCATCCCTTGACCGCACCCGGGCATCGATCAGCCTCCCATTGTTTCTGTAGCAGATGGGAATTCTTCCGGTACAGGCATTGAAGGCTTGACGAACTACGTGGTCCAAATATATGTAAAATAATGTGGGAGCCAGAGGACATCCCTGTTGCACCCCAAGGTGGAAAGGGAATGGCTCTGACTGACGGCCACGTATTTAGACGCGGGCGGCTCGCCATCATGAAGGTCCTTAAGGATGGTGATTAGTGGGTCAGGGACTCGGAAAGCACAAAGAGCAACCCAGAGGCCAGGCCTACTGATGGTATCATAGGCCTTGAGCAGGTCAATAAAGCACACGCATGGACTAAGATGCACACATGGACCTACAGACACGCAAAGAAATGGAGTTACACTGACTAACACGCACATGGACTGAGACACACATATCGACTCACACAAACACATCGACTTACAGACACACACATATGGACTCACACACACATAGACATGCACTTAAGATACACACACATATATGGATGTACACACATACAGCGACTCACACACCGACTCACACAACAATACGTGGACTCACACACACATTGACGTAAACACACATGTACTTACACACACACATATGGACTAAGACGCACACACATGGACTTACACACACACACAGCGACTGATACGCACACAAATGGACTGACACGCATACTTGGACTGACACACACACATAACCACTTTGACATACACACACATGGGGCGTTGTCCGTTATAAAATGACAGACACACACATGGGGTTAAAGACGCATGGCTCTACACGCACACACATATGGACTCAAAGACACACACATCGACGGGCACAGCAATCCCCGATGATGGCACAGCTATCAGTATGGCAGTACTACGTATGAGGAAATAGCGTGACGTGAGCGATGGAAACAATATAAATTTATTGAAGAAATAATCAAATCACAGACTGGCAGTGAACCGTGGCAGCGTCATAAAAGACAGCAAAAAAGGGAAAAATGAGCAACCTAAAAATCCAAAAAGAGTTTTGTGTACACAAACATAATTATTGTAACATGTCAACTTGTTTCATAATGGTAAACAATGAACCTGAGTTGTTATCTGCACACAATATCTGGCAACGTATTGTTTAAATAATAATAAGCAATCAACGTGAGTTCTTATCTGCACACAAACATTATTATAGTAAAGTTTGTCAACTAATGTGTTTAACAATAGTAAACAATGGACTTGAGTTGTTAGCGTAAGAAGCAATGGACTTTGTACTTACCATAGCCATGTTGAGGCCTTGTGCCATGCGTAGCCCCCGTCCTGGCCTACATTGGCGAGGCAGCAGAGTTGGCACATTGCCAGGCTAGGGGCTGGGCCACTACCCCTCCCCCCAGCATCCCCCGGGCGTGCAAGAATAATGGTATGCAAGCACTGAAATATGATCTACGGAGTCTGCAGTATAAACTGGACGCATCGTGTTGGGGGGGGCAAGAGGACATGACACTGTGAATAAATATCTGCAGCGTTATGTGTGTATGTATTGCCTGTAAAACGCGTAAAAGGAAATGTCCCCCGTGAGCTGGAGCGTATGCGCAGCACTTGGTAGGGTCCGCCCCCCCACGCAATTGGCGTCAGTTGGTACGGTCGATGTCGTGCAATAAGTAAATAATGAATAATAGAAACGGCACAAATGTGTTAATGAAACTACTTTAACGTTTACGGATGGGAAAACGGAATAGCCTATTCCCACCGCGGGGCTTAGGGCGTGTCGCTCGGTAAATTTTTTTCTACGTGAAGGCCACCGTCCGAGAGCCAAATTCCCCGCAAGCGCAACGTTTCGACTTCAAAACAAGCAATCATCATCAGGTGTGTTTTTTTCCACACCTGATAAAGATTGCTTGTGTTGCAGTTGAAACATCGTGAGAATTTTATTGTTTTATATTTTTTTTTATTTTATTGTTTCCCTTCTACGTGACTTTACCGAAAGAACCAAGAATATGAATCCCTGCAGTCACGAAAGCTTTAAATCAAAACAAAAAGTATTATTTTCAACAGCCTTTGCTTTGTCAGCTGAATTTAGCTTTCATAAATATTACTTTTGTAGCCAGACAGCTGTTTTGTGTGCTCGGAGTATTGGGTTAACATTCATTTTGAAGATACGAGGGCTTCTAGGCATGTTTGTGACCATTTGCCTTCTCATTGTGTGCCATAACAGCCCGTGTGATGAATTTGGGACACTTTTTCACTATATCATGAATATATGAATAGGTATAGACGTTTGTCTGTGTAAATATGCATTCCTCTGTGTATCGATACTGACGTGTAGATGGTGTTGATATTTTTTTCTGTCTGCAGCTGTCACTTCCTCTGCAGAATTAGTCTAATGGAGCAAAGGCACTCTGCGCGGCTCGGTGCTTACAGCATGGATCGTACTGGAAATTTGACACGGCACCAGAGAACTCGCACAGGAGAGAAACCCTTCAAGTGCAGTGTGTGTGGGAAGGCATTTGCACGTTCATCTTGTCTTGTAATACACCAGAGAATACACACGGGAGAGAAACCCTTCAAATGCAGTGTGTGTGGGAAGGCATTTGCACGTTCATCTTGTCTTGTAATACACCAGAGAACACACACGGGAGAGAAACCCTTCAAGTGCAGTGTGTGTGGGAAGGCGTTTGCACAGTCATCTACTCTTGCAATACACCAGAGAACACACACGGGAGAGAAACCCTTCAAGTGCAGTGTGTGTGGGAAGGCATTTGCACATTCATTTTCTCTTGTAGCACACCAGAGAACGCACACAGGAGAGACACCCTTCAAATGCAGTGTGTGTGGGAAGGCGTTTGCACAGTCAACTACTCTTGTAGAACACCAGAGAACACACACAGGAGAGAAACCTCTCAAGTGCAGTGTGTGTGGGAAGGCGTTTGCACAGTCATCTACTCTTGCACAACACCAGATAATACACACGGCAAAGAAACCCTTCAAGTGCAGTGTGTGTGGGAAGGGGTTTGCACGCTCATCTACTCTTGTAGACCACCAGAGAACACACACAGGAGAGAAACCCTTCAAGTGCAGTGTTTGTGGGAGGGCGTTTGCACTTTCATCTCCTCTTGTAGCACACCAAAGAACACACACGGGAGAGAAACCCTTCAGGTGCACTCCTTGCGGGAAGACATTTGCACTTTCATCAAATTTTCATGCACACCAGAGAACACACAAGCATCAGAAGATCCAGAAGGAGTGGAGTCTGAAATCGGCTTGTGAAAGTCAAAGTGCCGCAATGAGCCCATCCCTCATTAAACAAGAACCGGAAGAAAATCCCAGCTTAGACACTTTTAAAGGTATCAAGGTGAAATATGAAGAGGTGAAGGTGAAATGTGAAGAAGTGATGGTCAAGAGCGAAGAAGTGAAGGTAAAATGTGAAGATGAAGATTCAACTCCAAAATCAGACCTTCACATCGATAGAGGCAACGTGAAGCAGGAGGAGAATTCTGACTGTGAGGCAGAGCGAGGCAACTCCCAGCAGTTTGTGGAAGTTGAGGTGTAGGTGGACTTCCTCTGAAACAATACAAAGTCAAATGGAGACCCGGTAGATGTGTAGCTTGAGATTATGTCGCTCCAATAGACGCACCTTTGTCACAGGCCTTTAATGACAAGAATGTGAAGTTGAACGCTCAATTCCTAGGTTCAACCTGCAGGGCAAGAGCGGCCAGTCTTTGTGGACCTGTGGGTTGTGTAGATCTCTAACCAGGAGTGAGAGCCAATAAGCTCCCAAGCATTCGATATGTAATCATAATTGCATTTACATGGTGCTTGCTTAATTGCCTCAGCAACTTGGAGTTTTGTATCGTATCTTGTCTCAAACACTCGAAGAGCATCCCCAAGTAGCAGCTGCCCCTGTGTGGCACAAGGAGGTGGCCCTGCACCGGCCTGCATGTGGACAAGAGCCTGTCAGTAGGGGGCGATGGTTGATGTGGCATCTTAGTTGTGGAGTTTGTCGGTAATGTTTTAGAATTTGATAAATTTTGACCCAGACGTCAGAATGCAATGGCCTACTCGTTTTGAATTACACTACTATGTTGTACATTCACTTCGATTTAAAGCTTTCGTGACTGCAGGGATTCATCTTCTTGGTTCTTTCGGTAAAGTCACGTAGAAGGGAAATAATAAAATAATAAAGATACAACATAATTAGATAATTCTCACGACGTTTCGGCTACAATGCAAGCAGCCGTCCTCAGGTGAAGAATGAAACACCACCAAGCTTGGAGTGTATATTTAAGCTGGGTTGGAGGGGGAAGAAGAGCGCCTTGACAAATTAATTTGCATATCAAGAGGAATTTAACATTCCTTCCCTTTGTTAATTCTACCCCCTGTCCCCTCCCTTTGATGCTGCTAATCCTGCATAATGCACGGGCATAATGACTTTGAAACCCCCCGCCCACCTCCTACGCATTTCCCATAAATATGCTAAATTCCTCTTGATATGCAAATTATTTTGTCAAGGCGCTCTTCTTCCCCCGCCAACCCAGCTTAAATATTCGCTCCAAGCTTGGTGGTGTTTCATTCTTCACCTGAGGACGGCTGCTTGCGTTGTAGCCGAAACTTTGTGAGAATTATTTTATTATGTTTTATTTTTATTATTTTCCCTTCTACGTGACTTTACCGAAAGAACCAAGAAGATGTACATACACTTAAGCAGACGATGCGTATTTTTTAAAATAACTCATTGTTAATACGATGTAACCTGATGCAGCATAATTAGGTGCAGTAATAAAATTTTGTTAAAATGACTCAATAATTTAGAATTAATACTTGTATGATTGTGTGTGTACATGTAACATTTTGTCTATAAGGGTTAAACATTGATTAAGTGATGTTAGGACAAAGTGTGTGTTTTGGAAGTAACCTGGACAGATCACTCTGGTGAGACCCGTTGTTTTTGTGATACAGGTCAAAGGGTACTTTTGTGTTTTCAGGAAGCATCTCCCTTTGGAGCAACTCATTGTCTTTGAAATAGGGAGCGCATTTGGATCATTCATCAGTTACAAGGCATACCACTCAAAAGTTACACGAATAGGAGGTACATTCTCTACAACACGAATTATAATTTTGTATTACGTGTTGACGTAGATTTTGTCGAACTAGGACTAGAAATTATCCTTGCTGATTAACGTCTGAATGTTCACAACCATGGGTTGAAGCAAGCCCCTCAGAACCATTTACGGCCTTGGGCCAGGAAAGTCATGAAAAAAAGCTGCGCACGAACGCCGCATCCACGCAAGCTCCTGTGATGGTCCGTTTTAAAGTTTGAAAATGAAACAATGTTGAATTGTATTATGTTTTGAATTAGATAATTGTATTTCTTCATTAAAAGCTTATATAATTTTACATCTGGTAGACTTAATTGAAAACGACATTTCGTGTAAATTTCCTTTCGTCGTTAAGTAGATGGCCTTGCCGGGGATTTGGTTCCATGCGGAGTTTAACCTTTTCGGGATTGCGGGATCGAAATAAGGCAGCACAGAGTTGGCTGTGCGAGAAGACCGCCGTCCGTAGATCGATTCCAACATGATCGAACGTCTGTCCCTGCGCCTCCGTCGTTCATACAGGGGGTGCGTATGTTTGCAGCGCCCCCTGCATGAAAACGACGGAAAGTGCAGCGTTCGTCATAGGTAGATGAAGTTGTGTGCTTATATAAGAGTATAGCCAGTGGGTTTCAAAGTACCTTTGTCTTACAGAAATCAATTTCGCGTGAGCCCACCGCATTAAAACAATGCTCAGCTGAGCGGGGCAAGTCACAGTGGGGGGGGGGGGGGGGCACCTTATATATGTCACGTGCCGTAGCTTACGTGACTTCTGCCGCAAAAATGTCTAGATGTTTTCGCCTGAGGACGACCGCATGTTGTGATCGAAACGTCGCGATTTATTTTCTTTTTTCTACCTACGTGACTTTACGGAAAGAACCAATGAGTATGAAAGACGTCTCGTCTGCTGATCTTGTTCATATCTGTGTACATCGATATCCCACATTGCTTACATGTGTAGTGACATAAGAAGGGAGGGGCTGCTGGGGGCTCTGGGACCTGGGTGGGCCAGGCGCTTAAGCCTCTTGGCACCAGGCGTTGGGTTCTCAGGCGGGTCCAGACGCTTAAGCCTCTTGGCGCCGCCAACGGGGGGGGGGGGGGGGGGGGGGGCTGTGTGTGCTCTGTGGGATGTCTGGTGGCGCACACGGCTCCACGCCTCGTTGGACCAGGCATAAAAGGAGAGCTCCCTGGACGATCAGGGCCCAGTTGTAACTCAAGACCCAAGACCCACGACCAGCCATCTGAAGACCCTGGGATGCTGTGAGAGCCAGTGGTGGGACTCTGGAACTCCCGACTCGAGGACCAGAAATATTACTGGGAGTGGAGCCGAGGGGCAAGTGAGGGAGCTGAGGGAGGGAGAGCCAGTCAAACACAGCCAGGGGAGGGCTGGCAGCCTTAGGCCTGGGGGGCAAGTCCAGTCAATTAGCCCATTGAACCATTCACCAGCGCAGCCCAATGAGTGCCCACCGTCGCAGCTCAATCAGTGCTCACCAGCGCAGCCAAATCAGTGCTCGCCACCGCAGCCCAATCAGTGCCCACCACCGCAGCCCAATGAGTGCTCACCAGCGCAGCCCAATTAGTGCTCACCAGCGCAGCCCAATTAGTGCTCACAAGCTGCAGCCCAATTAGTGACCATGGGCCGGATAAATGTCCTCGGCGGGCCGCATGTGGCCCGCGGGCCGTAGTTTGAGGACCCCTGATCTAGGCTGTGTACCTAGGCTGTGTACCTAGGCTGTAACAGAGTATCAGGACTGTTGGAGTGTAGTGAGTTGGACTGTTGGAGTACTGTTGGAGTGTTGTATTATAATAAAGAAGTTACCTCTACAAGTGTCTCCGGAACCCGTTACACCTATCTAAAGCCTGAATCCCACCACCATCCAGCCCAGAAGAATTCCCTCATCAAAACACTACACCATAGGGCCCGTTGCATCTCCGACCAGCACCACCTAACAAGTGAGCGGGAGCACGTACACCAAGCCCTCAGGATGAATGGATATTCTGACCGTACAATCCGCGGGGGCTGATCCGCACCTTGCATTGTGAACAACTTTTCCATCTCGGCGTTCAGAAAACTTTGCTTATTATTATTGGCCAGGCATGACATCCGATGTCACTAGGGCGCTTCGGTCGTGCACCGAGTGTGCACAACACAAGTCACCCTGGCAGCGTTATGTTCCGCCCTTGCAATCAATTTCCGTCACGCGTGTCAATGAATTGGTCGCGTTGGATGTGTTAGGACCGTTCCCTGTCACGCCTCGTGGCAATAAATATCTCCTCGTCGGGGTTCAATATTTCTCCCGTTGGCCTGTGGCGTGGCCCTGGCCCTATCAATCTGCTGTATCCATTGTTGATGCCTTTGTGAACGGCTATATCATGGATAAGGGGGCGCCAGAAAAGTTGCTCACCGATCAGGGTAGAAATTTTTCATCTAAACTGTTGTGGGAGGTGTGTGCTGCTTTGGGGACCAGGAAGATTTTTACGTCCCCCTACCACCCTCAGACTGATGGTATGGTGGAGCGGTTAAATCGTACCTTGTCCGCTATGTTGTGCCAGACAGTCGATGAGCGACAGGCCGACTGGGATATCCAGATACCCAGCGTCCTCTGTGCCTACTGGATGGCGCCTCACGCTTCTACGGGATATTCCCCATTTTTCCTTGTGTATGGAAGGGAAAGCACGCCGCTGGTGGATGTCCAATTGGGCTCCCCAGTTGGACCTCTTAAATCGACTCTTCCCAATTACATTCAACAATCCCTTCGGCGGGTCTTGGAGGCGCATGAGGCTGCCAGGGTGAATGCCTCCAAGACTCAAGCTCGGAATGAGCGTTGCGCACGGCGGTCGAAATGGACATGCCATGGTAGGTTGGAGATGAAGCGTGGCTTCATTGCCCACAGGTGCCTATGGGCACCTCTGCTAAACTTCACAAGCCATGGCAGGGCCCTGTGACGATTGTGGAGGTTTTGCGGCCTCAGTGTGTTCGTGTTCGTTACGGTCGCCAGCGCTGGTTTGTCCACCCATCGCGGTTGAAACCGTTTGTTGCTCCTGTGCCGCCATCGTCATCTCCAAATCCCGGAATCCCGGTGCCTGACGTGGCCAACAGACCTGTCACCTCTGTTAGGGGTGATCTTCCGCAGCCTGTTCCTTTGCCATCCACAGCGCCCCTGAAGGTGACGGCGGGTCCAGAGGACATCGCCAATTCCCCGTGCCCATCTGCGGGGGATCAGGCCGGACCACCCATTGTTGGGCCACTACCTCCACCAGCCGATGTTCCTGTTTCGCCATTGGCGGATGGACCGGCTATGCGGACACGCTCTAAATAGTCGCAATTTTTTAAAGCCGTTCTTGGATTCGGGTTGCGTGTTCTGTCCGCTGTGGTGTGTTGCGTTGGGGGGGGGGGGGTCCAACATTCCGTTATATTTCTCTTTCCAGTTTTGTTTGGGTCACAGGGCTGATGGCGCTCTGTTGTGTTGCCCTTCCTTAGCCAGGACGGCTACATTTTTTTACACAAGGGGGGTGATGTAATGAGAGCGCCATTGCCTGGATTATCAGGGGGCATATATATTAATTCTACAGTCCATGCTTATCCATAGTGGGGTTTACATCTAGGTGAAAGGTGAGAGGCGGTTCCACCAGGGAAGCCTCTGGAATGTTCGGGAAGATTCCAGGAGGGGTGTGGCCAGAGGCAGGGCTTAGACCCGGATAGGGGGATATAAGCGGGACCCCGAGCAACGCAAAGGGTTGGTGCTGAAGAACTGAAGAGGAGCCATGCCACTGCTGCCCCGCCATCTCCATCCACCACGTGGCGGCTCGTCCAGCAGCACCATCAGCCGCTCCCTATAGTGCACCGTCAGCCAGCAGTGCGTTGGAGAGCGGGTGGGCGCCACGTGGCACGGGGCAGCGTAGCCACACGAGTGGACGGCCGCAAAGAGGAAGAGACGGAGACACATGGCTGTACCGAG